TACATACATGCATGCATACATACATATGTACATACACACATGTGTACGTACATATGTACATATGTACATGCATACATGCATGCATACATACATATGTACATACATACGTACATACATACATACATATGTATGTACATACATACATACATACGTACATACATGCATACATACATACATACATATGTATGTAATATATACATACATACACACATACATGTCTACGTAGGCACATACATACATAAGTATGTATGTAGATAGCTATCTAGCTATCTAGCTATCTAGCTAGCTAGCTAGATAGATAGATAGATAGATAGATAGATAGATAGATAGATAGATAGATAGATAGATAGATAGATAGATAGATAGATAGATAGATAGATAGATAGATAGATAGATAGATAGATAGATAGATAGATAGATAGATAGATTTATATATATATGCACATGTTGATTTACACATGTATCTCACTATGTTACTTCATGTAGAAGCGTTTCTGTGGTTACCTTGTATCCAGTGATTGTGCTCACGTGTCTTCGGGGCATCTTCCATCGCACACTGAAAGCCGTACAGTTGAGCGTCTCCAGCTGGATGTCTAATGGAGGACTCAGACGTTCTGTTTAAAAAAGAAAAAGACAACCAATCAGTCAAAGGCATAAGTAATCAGTGAGGAAAACACAATGTTCTACAGAGGAAATGTAACCCACAATAGAGATTTATTTAACTGTTTGGCCAAGTAATCAAAAACACATTGTTCTGGTGTTGTTGAAAATAATCATGAATGATAGTTCTTTTTTTACGTGGGGCTATGTGGAACATGAGCACCTAATATCTGACTTGAATGTTGGGAAACTATCCAACAAAGTTTGCTGAAAAAGTACAAAGCTTAGTTTGTTTTTGTTTTTTGTTTTTCAGTTTGCATGAAATGTGATAGAAAACTCATCCAAACCATTGAATGTCTTTATCTGAACATTTGGTTAAACTACCCCCTTCAGTTTTTGAACTATTACATTCTGTTGGTATTTTGGCTGTTTAAATGTGACTGAGGTGGTTCTTGCTTTTTTTCCACTAAAGAGGTGGTGTTTTCATTGCATTAAATTATAATTATTCTGTTACTGTATAGCCATTTATCTGACAGTATAAGATTAAGCAAAACCTACTTTATTCTTCAAAAACAACATAAAGCTGCATTTAGAAAAGTTTAAGATTTTAGATGTCAACGTGTTTTCTTGAAATCTTTCATTCCAGCATGTGGTAATACTCTGGGAGGTTCAAGACGTGTTGACTTTGCTTGTAAAGAAAACTAACTAAATAAAAAGAATATTGAATATACAATTAGCTTTGCTTTCCAAGTATCCATCTAAAGTCTTTGGGGACGTTGTCCACTTCAGACATGAGCAAGATAATGGTGGGAATATTGTCCTGCTCTCTCATCTTGTCAGAAGTATGTGAGTTCTGTCTCAAGTGTTGCTGCTGGGCCGACCACAAGTCCCTATAATTAAGGTTTCCAAATTGAAAGGGAATTGATGCGTTGATAAAATATATTTTTCTATTTAAAAAATAACACTAACATCAGTACAGCAGATATCCCAGTTACTTTAGACTGAACCATCCCAAAGAGCTATTTAATATAAAGAGGTTGAACAGACCATAAAAGCCAAAACATAGTAGCGTTTGTTGAAGGAGTGCATGCCTGCCACCTCATATGTCAAAGCTGTAAACAAAGATGATGTGGGATTCGTTAGCATTCAGAGTACTGGTTGGCAATCAATCTCAGCTATGATTATAATAAAACTAAGTCATAGCCATTTTTGTCATTTTTGTATTTGCTAAGACTGCTCAGCTGAGTCAGCCATTTTGAACTCGATTGACTCCAAACGTTACTCAGCTGTAAATGTACATCCAGTGATTGCTTTCATTCAATGTTTCACATTTGTTTGTTAATTGATTAGATATTTTGCTAACAAACAGAAAAACAAACAAATAGATGATTATGTGATCTTGTGGCAGTGGGTAAAAAAAACGAAACAGTTTGGTGAAATTAATGTCAATTTAAAAGATGTCTTAGTCAAGCACAAATGGGTTAAAGACCATTTTGATTATTTCAAAAATCAAATAATATGAAATGCCTGATTACTATTTTTTATTTTTGATGCTTTTTAATTTTGTTTGTTTGTTTGATTTTTATTAATAATTCAATTCAATTTTGTTTATTTATATAGGGCCAAATCACAACAGAAGTCATCTCAGGGCACTGAACAGAAATATTCATATGTAAAAATAATAATTTAGGACTTTATCTGAGGAGTAGACTGATTTGAATTTAACTTCATCACAGAACTTTTATTTTGAGCAAGCATGAAGCGACAGTGGGAAGGAAAAACTCCCTCATGAGGAAGAAACCTTTAGCAGAACCAGGCACAGGACAAGCAGCCATCTGCTTCAACCGGCTGAGTTTGGTAGGAACAGATACACAATGGCAGATCAAGAATCACATGTTAAGATAGAAACAGTATCAAATGAAAACTATTAAACATGAACAATTCATTTAAGGAAATTAGGTCAATTTGTCCTCCAGTAGTCTAAGCTTAAGGCAGCATAACAAGCCAACCCTAACTACAGGATTTATCAAAAAGGAAAGTCTTAAAACTGGACAATGTGTCAGCCTCACGGACAGAAACTGGAAGTTGGTTCCACAAGAGAGGAGCCTGATAACTGGAAGATCTTCCTCCCATTCTGCTTTTGGAAAATCTAGGGACCACGAGTAAGCCTGCAGTCTGGAGCGAAGTGCTCTGTTAGGAAAATATGGAACAATAAGATCTGTAATATAAGATGGAGCTAGGTTGTTGAGGGCTTTGTAGGTTAGAAGAACTGTGACGCAGGATCTAAACAGTATATAGTGGACGTTTTGTCTCCCAAAAGAGTTGATTCTTCCTTATCTTAGCTCCTTGAGTCAAGATTGACACAACTGAAATAAAGTTTTTTGTTGTTGTTGTTTTTCTCCTCGTGATGGAGAAAAACATAAAGAACATTGGCATCTCTGTTTTTAGGATATTATTATGACACTGTGTTTTTGTGTTGGATAGGTAGTGTTTTATGTCAAATCATGGTCTTGTTGGATCTAATAAAACTTCTAAGAGCCCTAAATAAAGAACAAATAGATCACCTGGTTCAGTCTGTGTTCTTTTGTGCTTTTGATCAATCCAAAACTGAAATTAAAACAACAACTGCAGAAAACTTCTTTATGAAAGTAACAATCAAATCAACATTATCTTATTTCATTATCATGTCTAAATTACTTCTAAACAGATACACAAAAGCTGATGATTGGACTAGTTAACCCTGCTGCTGCCCTAGGGTCAAGTGATGCACAAGACCTTAGTGTTAAGGCCATGTGCATCATTTTGTATAAAGTGCAGCAGAAAATTAAAGATAGTTTTAATTCTAATTCCCACTCTGCTCTTTTACACATGCAGTAGCTCTTTTGGTTTAAACTGTAAAAAAATTTTTTAAAAAGTCCTAAACTATCTGAGAGAGAATAATTTGTGATGCTGAATGCTCGTCCCTCTGACACTTTAATAACGAAAGCTCTTACTTACTCAACAGTGATGCTATTTTACCAAGAATGAAAGATTTAAATTGTTGCTCTGCTCTATATGTGTCTCTCCATTCAGAGATTTCACATGAAAAAGTGTTTTTTACTGATCTGAGGAGCTCAGAATGAAAAGATCACAGAGCTGAATGCTGCTGTTCTCTGAAACATGGCTGCATGCGTCTTTCGCCAAACAAAGATTCATTATGTGGCTACAAAGTTCATTAAAATACATGTTTTCCTAACAGCTTTGTAACGATGAACAGTATTATAGCAAAAATAAAAAGTAACCTCCTGAATTATTCCAGTAATAATTCAACATTCTTTTCAAACAGAGAATAAAACATTTAAAGAATGTGAAATAAAATGACCGCCTTGGGTAGAGATGTCAGTTTAACTCTTTTCTGAAACCACCAGCTTTGTTGACAGACTGATACGATGCATGTGGACACTGAGCTCTGGTTATACTCCTGCGTTCCTGAGAAAAAAGATCAGATACCTTAAACTAAAAACACAAGAGTACAAATGTCACCGGCAGCCATGACACACATGCCCTAGATATGGAAGTCTAAATGGTGTGCCGGACTGATGGACAGATGTAAAAGTCGAGGCCCGAGGGAACGAGTGTGAAGAAAGATGAAATGCAGCAGACAGGGAAAAGGAAAAGGAGGAATGATAGAAAGAGAGGAGGAGAAAGAACATAAATAAATTGAAAAAGAATGATAAAGAAAGACAGACAACAGAACAGGGAAGGGTTGTTGAAGTCAACATTTAGGGATTTCTGCCCTGAGGAGCCTGTTTTCTACAGATAAATGAGTGTCTTATTGGTCTGGAGCTGAACATCCTCCTCTCTTTCCCTTTCAGTTTCCCTGTTTAGACAGATTTATAACTATTCTGTGAACTGATGGCATTTTTCTCATTGCAAACAACAATTTAAGAACACAATTATGTCGTACATTGTTCCACAAAATTTGGAAAGATACTTGTTTCTCCATCCTGAATTAAAAATGTTACATTCAAGAGACATTTTCCACAGCAGACATAACACAATGGGGTGTATTGATAAAAAAAAAAAAAAGATTCAAACAAAATTTGGCAACAAAAGGAAGCTGAAGAAGAATTTTAACAACAGTTCATGGAAAACTCGTTTGCATTTCAAAAGTGTCTGAAGTCTTTGAATTTCAGACAGAAGCAGATACTTCATATGACCCCTGACTGTCCCAACAACTGTCAGCTGTTCTTTACGAACACATTTCTCCACTTTAAGTGAAGTCTTCGTTAAACATGACAAAAGCCTGAGTGTGTATGACTGATCAGGTGGGCCAAGTTCCACAAAAACTACGATCAGCGTTTGACAGATGAGGTCATTCTGCTTCAGATAAAACACTTTATTCTGTCGCTTGTCATTTTGCCACTGGTTGATTTCCATCGTCCTTGATTCAGAAACTTGTATCGTTTTTGCTTTAGCGTGTTTCTGCAGCCTGACCTTTCTGTTATAGAGACTTAAGTGGTCCTTGGCTGATTTTAAACGCCCACTTCAAATGTTTTGGTCATCACTCTAATTATCTGCACTGCACTTTTAAAAATGTACTTTCATTATTTGATTTCAGTCATGTTTTACAGTCCCATATGGATGGTGTGAGCTCCACTTTAAATGGGTTTTTTTGCAAGCTTCAAAATAAACTCATAAGTATGTTTTAAAAGGGGAATTCATTCATTCGTTCATTCAACCTTTATTTAAACATGTAAATCCCAATGAGCCTCGAGGACTCATTTACAAGAGAGACCTTATTTCAACAAAGAATGATGACAACAGTGGACAACAGTGACAACAATAAACAGTTATAAAAAGTCATACAAATTAATTTATTCATTTTTTTTAACAAATAGGGTGGCTAAATAAAAGAAAAGTAACAAAAAACAGTTAGATTCTGAGGTGTTTTTTGTTACGTTTTTTTTTTTAGCCATCCTAATTCAATTACTATGTCAAGTTTGTTTCTCGTCTGTTTTTGCAAATGTAGTTTTGTGCCACTTTTTGATTAGATAAGAGAGAAGAGGGATTTTTTTTTTAAGGCAACATGCTGCTTCAGGCTTTTATTGTGAAATAGCCACTGTCCTGCTGCTTTTTGTTTGACATTTAATCATTAAATAGATACATATCTGTATTTCTCCCATTTATTTCCTTACAGTTTCATAAGTAATCGTTGTATGTGGTGCTGCAGTTTTTAAAAACGTGCATAATAAAATAAACAGTTCAGGCTCCACATATTTCATCACAAACAGATTGATATTGATTTATGATTATGATCCAGAGCAAGTTTCAGGTTGAACTTACCAGACCTCTTGTTGTTTGATCTCGCTCCACAACAAACGCTGGTTGTGCAGATTGTAAAGAAAAGTAAGCAGAGACCCCTCTCTTTACTTGTGGGACCCATTTCTTCAGCTGCTCCAAAGTTCAGCACAGTCAAATCTTCATTTTAACGCACGTGTACAACCAAATGATTTCCTGTTGAAAGTTTTCTTAAAGAAAATCCTTTTTTTTTTTTTTTTATCTAAATCTTGGGCAGAAGCGCCATCCAGAGACGCACGGGACGCGCCGGAGGAGAGAAGGCAGCTTCGTTTGGACTCTGATGAGATTAGAGTCTGCAGGAGATCCGAGGGGTTCCTCGGAGGAGGACTAACAGACAGCTGTGCCTCTGAACGGACGATGGAGATGATTAGCAGGTGTTCCGACAACAATCCACGCGTAAACCGAAACCACTGGCACCGATGAATGTTTGTTTTACGCGTAAAGATCCGGGTTGTCGAGTCCCTCTTCTTAGACAGCCGACGAGCTGCGGAGCCAAGTGCAAGCACCGTGGGGCCATTTAGAGCTAAGAGGATAATAAGCGTCTAATCTGGAGACAGATGGAGAAGAACTGACGCAGAGGCACAGGAGCCACAGACTACAGAGCTGGCTGGGCGGAACCTGTTGGAAAAACCTTCTACCATTCATGGTTTAATGATCATCATCAGTGTGGTCTTCATCAGATTCTAAAATGAATGATTTTTAGAATCATCATGTCCAACCCAAAGCTGCATTTAAAGGTGGAGCCACAGTGCTGCCAGTCAAGTTTGTTATTTTGTCTTTTAGCTAAATAGATATATTTTAAATATTCAAACTGTTGGGCTGTTCTTAGCCCTGTTAAAGTAGAAATTTTAAATATGTACACTGAACACATGTTGAAAGCATAGCCTTCATATTTCTTCTCCAAACTAGTGACTTTTAGACAGTCTTGAGCAGCTCTTCATCTGAAAGGTTTCCTCTTTCAGTTTTCTACTTTTTGAATCACTTCAGTCAAGTCTTTAACTTTTTAGAGGTTTAATTTTAATATTCGGCTATAGCCCTTAAGTTGAGGATGGATGAGTCAGTGTTTTGTGTGCATATTCTAGACAATCCACGGTCATGTTTGAAGAACAGAACTAGACCGAAAATAAGACAAAGACATAGTTTTGAGAAAAACATTTGAAAGTTTTATGAGATTTTGTTTTCAAGGATAAATAATGTTAAGACCACTTACAAGAAAGTCTTGCCTCATTAAAGACAAAATGAAAAGAAATTATGGGCGCCTCTGTTCTTATGCACAGAGCTGTCCTATTATTAGGCAGCTCAATGATGCATTTGTCACGTCTAGACTGGACTCTTGTAATGGTTTATCTGGGTGTTCAAATACTTCTTTAAAACGTCTTTAGTTGATCCAAAATGCTGCTGCCAGAGTCTTTACTGGAGTTAGTGGGAGAGATCATTTCTCTCCAGTTTTAGCTTCTCTCCATTGGATCCCTGTCAAATCCAAAACTGAATTCAAAATCTTACTTCTAACCTACAAAGCCCTCAACAACCTAGCTCCATCTTATATTCCAGATCTTATTGTTCCATATTTTCCTAACAGAGCACTTCGCTCCAGACTGCAGGCTGGTGCAGTCCCTAGATTTTCCAAAAGCAGAATGGGAGGAAGATCTTTCAGTTCTCAGGCTCCTCTCTTGTGGAACCAACTTCCATTTCTGTCTGTGAGGCTGACACATTGTCCAGTTTTAAGACTTTCCTTTTTGATAAATCCTATAGTTAGGGTTGGCTTGTTATGCTGCCTTAAGCTTAGACTACTGGAGGACAAATTGACCTCATTTCCTTAAATGAATTGTTAAAATTGAATAGTTTTCATTTGATACTGTTTCTATCTTAACGTGATTCTTGGCCTGCCATTGTGTATCTGTTCCTCTCAGACCCAGCCGGTCGAAGCAGATGGACGCTTGACCTGAGTCTGGTTCTGCTAAAGGTTTCTTTCTCATGAGAGAGTTTTTTTCTTTCCACTGTCACCTTCACGCTTGTTCAAGATGAGAGTTCTGTGATGGAGTTAAACTCAATTCAGTCTGCTCCTCAGATAAATAATATTAAATTATTATTTTTAAATATAAATGTTTCTGTTCAGTGCTCTGAGATGACTTCTGTTGTGACTTGATGCCATATAAATCAAATGAATTGAATTGAATGTGCCCCCCTCATCGAGGGGCCCATAATGTTTAGTTTACAGTAAATATTTTCTCAACAACAACAAAAAAACTAACTTGTTTCTAATTACTGTATGTTGTGAATCTTCTACTTAAGAAGTGAGAATATGAATTTATGAATGACGTCACAACCAAAGTTTCTGGTTGAAAGTCTGAAAACCAGTCAGAACTGGATTGTTTTAACCATTTCTGCTTGGAGGGCCTTGCTCAAGGGCCCATAGTGGGGAAAATGAAATTAGAGTCAGTTGTGGGTGCTTCATTTTCCCACCAAAATGTGTTTTCAACTGTCCAGGGATTCAAACCTGTGACCTCACAATCCCAGGCTCATTTTCTCTGATCTCTGCGCCACCACTCTCTATGTTAACTTATAACCTCTATTATAGCAATTATTTTGTTTTATTTTCAGCTTAAACCACAGTTAAAAAAACAGCAGAAGCAAAAATAAGCCAGTTTTTTTCATTTGAAGAGCTGTTTTCACCATTTCAGTTTTGTCCAATTTCAACATACATTAATAATATTATTTTGAAGGCACTACAAAAAAAAGTATGGTATTATTATATCATAATGTATTGTTACATCTACAGTATTATCCTATTTTTATTTTACAGATTACCAAGTTCTGTTTTTTTTTTCCTGTGTGATATATTCTATATTCAAACAAAGTAAGTAAATGAAATTAATCTAGACATCAATTTGCACTTAATAATTTGAAAATCCTTTGAGCTCACATGTTGTCCTGACACACACTCACTCACATTGTTTAGAACTAGAGTCCATCTTCAGTTAAAACATATATTTGTTGTTGGAAGTGATAGAAACATCTGTGGTTAATATTGTTGGATCATATTTGTGTGTTGTTGAAAAACCACTTGATTTTTCACACTCCTGGTGTGAGACTGACCACTGATTTCATTCTGAGCTCTGATTGCTGTCAAAAAATACATCGACAAGCAGAAACCCACAGCTGCCAGAATTATATCACGAGCCCAACTAGCTGAAATGGTTAAGACTCACTCGTTCCATGTTGACATGCTAACTTTAAACATTTGATCAGTTAAGAATTCACAAGACCAGCAAAAACAGCTTATAACACAATAAGTGCGACCTTGAAAAGAAATCAGTAAACTGAATCAAATCAAAGCGTAATGCGTGTTCTCAGAAAGTCTTACTGATGTTTCCCTCGAGGACGGAGGGTGATTGACGTGTTGACTACATTCAATAAAATGTTGCCTTCCATTTTCTTCTCAGTAATGGCGTTCGTCTTTGGGGAGAGCTGTCGCTTAACACAAAGCAATGGCACCTCTATAAATAAGCCTGTCAACAAATATAGCATATCCATTATCCTCAGACTTCACTAATGATTCTCAAAAGATAATCACTGTGTCATTTATAATCACAAGTCTACAAATAATGCAGCGGTTTCTCAGTCTGACCGCAGTATTGTACTGTAAACTGTGGAAAATCCCACTTTTATTAATTCAAACAACACATCAGGCACATACAACATAATACATTAGGTATGCATACAAAAGATGATTAGTTGATCCTTCTAATTTAAGCAAAACAAAGTTTCAGCAGAGATCAGAGGAGGATGCTCACACAGTTAAATTCTGGATTGTGTCCACAAAACAAGCTAATTAAAACTTTTGACATTATTGACATCCAGCCATGTTCAATAGACAGTTTTGGTTACAGCCCTATAAGAAAACAGAATGTCAAAAAGCTGCCATGTTGGTTCACAACATCCAACACTAGACCAAATGTCTCACCTCTTTGTTGTCAGCTGAACCCAGTTTATGGGAGCTTTCATGCCATATTTTTGAAACCAGAGTCTGTACACTAAGGATGTAGAGCGTTAAGCCCCGCCCACTCCCCTGCACACAGCCATGGTGGTATACATGAACATCCTTGTAATTAAATACAACTAAACAGTTTTGAAAACTAAATTTCTGAACATACAGCAGCAAGTAAAGAACTAGGTGAACGAACAAAATTCAACACCTAATAATGGAGATGTATTTTTATATTTAATATGGGCAAAGTATCCATTTGTTTACATATTAGTGGCAGGAGTTACTTTATGACTTGTGGGAATGCTGGATCCCATCTTCTACTTCTTGTACGGGATCCAGTGTTTCTTTATACGGCTGATGGATTACAATGAAAAATGTTTTAACTCCACTTTAATGACACAAAACTTGTACAATTGTATTATCATTCCTCATAACTGCCATGCAGCTTGCTGGCTGCAGTAGATGCTCAGTGCTGCAGTCCGTTAATCCTGAAGCTGCTGGTTCAAGCCCAGGTTACATCAGGAGAAACATCCAACAAGTGTTTTTCATACAAGTTCACTCAGTGTACCCCTGCAGAACGGAGCAGCCAAAAGAAAAATAACATCACTAAGATGTAACTCGTCCCGCTATATGCTGGTGCTCACCACACATTGATGAAGACAGTCGACAGAACTCACTTGGCTAAAAGTTTTTATATTTGTTTTTTAAACGATAAGAGCAGTGAGGTGAGGGATGGGAATGATACTTTCCATCATTCTTATGCTTTTCCTTCATGAAGTCTTCTTAAAATATGTATTTTCCACTTTTTTTCCTAAACATTTTAACTCTGGGGCAGCACGGTGGAGCAGTTGGAAGAGCTGCTGCCTCTCAGCGAGTAGGTTACCCCGGTTCAAATCCCGGTCCAGGGACCTTTATGGGTGGAATTTGCATGTTCTCTCCGTGCATGTGTGGGTTTTCTCCGGGTACTCCGGTTGCCTCCCACAGACCAAAAACATGCATGTTAGACTGATTGGTAACTCTAAATTGTCTCTAGGTGTGAGTGAGAGAGTGAATGGTTGTTTGTCTCGTTTGTCTCTATGTGTCCCTGTGATGGACAGGAGACCTGTCCAGGGTGTACACCGTCTCTCACAAAGTGATGGCTCGATATGGGCACCAGTGACCCCCCATGACCTGAAAGGGATGAAGTGGGTAAAGATAATGGATGGATGGATGGATTTTAACTCTGTCAATATTATAAGTTTAATCCTAAAAGTGGAAAACACACAAAAAAACTCTTGCTTTTTCCTTATGTGACCCTGAAACTTTACATTTCTTTACATTTCAAAGTTTGACTTTGTTGCCAAAAAATGTCCACACACATCCTAAGGAA